GGAGATTTCATTTGGTGGTATTTGATACATTTTTTGAGCTATAAAAAAAAAACTGCTCTTGGGGCTATTTATACAAAACAATCTGACAAATTATACCAAAATAGTCAACTTCTTGGTTGAATTTACCACAGTGGCCCTTGTAGGCCAGTTTTACGGCAGCAGGGTTAGAGAGGGGCTAAACTCAAAATGTAAGACCACAGTAATCTGATCCCAATTTCTTCCCGTTTCATTACGTGTAGGAGATTGCGGGGGATGGTGACAGAATTTAGAAGGCTCTTTATAGTGCGGGAAACATGAAACCATCTCTCCTTTTGGTGGTCTATAGGGCAGAAGAGTATCTCTACATAGAAGACAATAGCTCATTCTAGCATTAGTTTTCCAAATCATAATGACACAAGATGAGGAACTTGTATAAGAGGGTGTCATCTCTGTGTATGATGTCTAATCATGGCCCTGCCATGTGTGGTATTTTATTGAACCCCAAAATTGTTGATTTTTCTAGGAATGTACCCCATTATCGTCCTTACAAATAAACACAGAGCTGATTATACAGTGCTGGAGAAAACGTTCCAGCGTATGCAGGCCGAGGTGGTGATAGCTGTTGAGAACTACACAAAGGATGACCACATGAGAACTCTGGGAAGGACAACAGACATCCTGATGTTCATGGACAGCGCTCTAAAAAATGCCAAATATCTTATGGAGCCAGCCAAGAAACCCAAAGAGGGATCGGATAGGCCATCGATCATTCCTCCTCAACCACTTCCACAATGCCAAGCTGGCCCAACAAGAAGAACAGATAAGGAAAGAAGAGGAACGGGCAAGAAAAAAAAAACAACTCGAACCCAAAATAAGCTTTTGGTCCACCATTTTTAAGCGCTAACAATGGGAACTTCACCCTTGCTAAGCCACAAATTTCTGAATGGGGACAACTATATATTATATCCAGCCTACCCAGCCGTTTAATCAAATGAAAACACCACATCTTATTCAAATGTAAAAAAAAATTATATTTTTTTTTCAAATTTTTTAAATATAAAAAAATATAATAAAAGGCATTGTACACTATCAAATATTCTTGTTGTTTTATTTGAGTATTTGGCCCTTTTCACAGGAGGGCTGACTTCATTTAGAGCAGCGAGGGATCTGTCTGCTAATCCCGTGTATGTCAGAGCTCTTTAGGCGGTTGGGTGTAAACTGACTCCACTATCCATTTACACCCAACTGCCCTCCGATCCCATCCACCTAGAACTGATGTGGATGATCCCCTTCCATTTTTTTTTTTAGTGATCAGATCGATTGAATGTAGGTAATGGTGTAAACAAACCCAAGTAACTGGAGCAAGATCCTTGTTGGTGGAGGAAGAATGAGGGAGAGAAAGCCTACATAGGGAAGGTAAAACAGAGATGTGAAGCAAGATATACACATTATATTGCCAAAAGTATTGGGCCACCTGCCATTCCACGCACATGACCTTTAATGGCTCCCATCTTAGTCCGTAGGATTCATTATTGAGTTGGCCCCGCCCTTTGCAGCTATAACAGCTTAAGCTCTTCTGGGAAGGCCGTCCCCACAAGGGGTTTAGGAGTGTGTCAATGGGAAGGTATTGACCATTCTTCCGAAGCACATTTGTGAGGTAGGTACTGAAGAAATTGTCCAAAAAATGTCTTGAGTTCCCTTTACTGGAATTAAGGGGCCAAACTCAACCCCTGAAAGACACCCCCACACACACCATAATCCCCCCTCCATCAAACTTTACACTGGGCACAATGCAGTCAGGCAAGTACCGTTCTCCTGACAACTGCCAAACCCAAACACGTCATCAGAATTGCCCCAGACAGAGAAGCGTGATTGGTCACTCCATAGAACACGTCTCTACTGCTCTAGAGTCCATGTGGCGGCATGCTTTACACCATGGCATCCCGACGCTTTGCATTGCACTTGGTGATGTAAGGGCCTGGATTGCAGCTGCTCGGACCATGGGGGGGGGGGAAAACCCACATTCCATGAAGCTCTCTACGCACTGTTGTTGGGGGCTCATCTGAAGGCCACACCATGTTTGGAGGTCTTTAGCTATTGACTCTGCAGACAGTTGGTGAATTCTGCGCACTGTGCGCTTCAGTATGCGCTGACCCCCCCCTGTCATGTGACGTGGCCTACCACTGGGTGCTGAGTTGCTGTGTTCCCAGTTGCTTCCACTTTGGTTATAATCCCCACTAACAGTTGAGCGTAGGAATATTTAGTAGCCAGGAAATGTCCCGGATGGACTTATAGCACAGAAGGCCGGCACCAACCCTACCCCGTGGCACAGGTGGCCACCTAGCACCGGGACCACTCCAGCATGGAGTCACTGAGCTCGGCTCAGGCGAGCGCAGGGGACCCTTCTTTCAGCCCCACCAACAGTTTTGTTAGAACCCGGGCGCCTCTAATCAACAGACTGCGAGGGAAGAGGGACCCACAGGGCCAGCCTAGGCAAGGCTTGCCATTGTATACACCTGTGTCCATGGAGGGAAAGGATAGCTGTCCCCGCGGACGGAACTATCTGGTGCACTGTTAAGGGCAGGGGTAATCATTTGTATAAAATGTGACTGGTGTGAATGTCAACAACAAAATATCACCATACTGGTTTTGTCATATGACACTATCCAGTGCGCCTAGATGGCCACCGATTACCAGCCTCTCCATCTACTGCCATTAATGAGGTACTTTTTTTTAAAGTAGCATTTTGACGGCCAAATATGCATTCCATTATGCCACTAGTTATGGACTGGTCACACAACCCAATCATAGAGTCAGCTTATCAGCCCAAGTAGTAGTGGTCATCTAGCCAAAGCTTGACAGTTGACCACCCCCATCTCCTTCTCCTTAAGCAAACTACACTCCCTCGGCATCAGAGACTCCGCTCTCTCCGGGCAGGTGGCTCTCTTCCTATCTAAAAGCAGGGGTCAATTCCCAACGCTACCCTTCAGCGTTACCTATAATGCTTATGGACACCACCTCCCAACCTCTCTCCCCCAAAGTTTTGTAGAGCGTTCTGTTGGGGCAATGATAGTATACCCCCAAGGCTCTGTCCTTGGCCCCTTTTCCTTCTCCACTTACATACTGTTTATGTCCTCCATCTAGCTGCGCTTTTATAAAGGCATTTGGGCAATCATTATGTCCACTAGATGTAGCTGGTAATCATAGGATGATTATCATGGTATTAGTGGACATTAGCCAAAGCTGACAGTTGACCACACAACCATCTTCCTTCTCCTTAATAAACTATCAACTCCCTCGCATCCAGAGACTCCGCTCATCCCTGGCTCTCTCCTATCAATCCCACGGCTTCTATAAAGCTAACTATCACTCTAAAACGCTGGAGGACACCTCCTCCACGCAAATATTCCTCTAGTCACTCTCCCACACCAAATTAAACCTCTCCACCCCTCGCCTTACCCCTTCAGTCTCCGCCCGTATCACCCACCTGCGGAACGACATATATCACACACTGGATGTCGCTCCATTTCCTCCAAACTTGAACCTTTTTCCAAAACCGAACTCCTGATTTTCCCCCCAGCCCCGCACACCCCCCCCCCACCCTCTCCATCACGACCAATAACGCCACCATCAGTCACGCCTCCGCAAGCCAAAGTCCTAGTGTCACTCTAGAACCCAAACCTTCCTTCCAACCCCATGTCCATATTGTTTGGCAAACTCATGCAGGCTCCAACCTCCCAGCCAACAATCTCCAAAATACGTTTGTTTTTCCTAACCCCAGACACTACGAATCAACTTGTCCATTCCATTATTATCTCACGCTTGGACTACTGCAACTCCCTTCTCACCGGCCTACCCCAACACAGGCTATCCCCGATTCAGTCTATCCTGAACTCAGCGGCCAGACTCATCCACCTTACCAACCACTCCTTGTCCCTTCTGCCTCCCCCATCTGTCATTCCCTCCACTGGCCTCCACTCAGTGTCCTCCACCCCCCTCTGTCATTCCCTCCACTGGCTTCCTATTGCCCAACGCATTAAATTCAAACTACTAACACAGACATGCAAAACCATTCATAACGCTGCCACCAAACTACCTCACCGACCTGATATCCAAATACCACCCAACCCGTAATCTCCGCTCCTCACAAGACCACCTACTTTCTAGCTCCCTGGTCTCCACCTCCCATGCCCAACTGCAGGACTTCTCCAGGACTTCCCCCATCCTCTGGAACTCACTACCCCAATCCATCAGACTGTCACCCTACCCTCCTCACCTTTAGGCACACCCTGAAAACCCACCTCTTCAGGGAGGGAAGCCTACCCCACCCTCACCTAAACAGCCGATCTCCTCCACTCTCTTCCTACCACTCCATCCCCCACAGCCACTTCTTCCTGTACCACTATCCCCTCCCTCCTTCCTAAATTGTAAGCTCGAGAGAGCAGGGCCCTTGAACCCCTCGTGTTTTGCTACTGTTTTGTTACTGTATTGTCTGTCCCCCACTATAATGTACAGCGCTGAGCAAACCTTTTAGCTCTATATAAATACTGTATAATAATAATAATAATCATATTGCAAAAAAATACCGTGATCATTTGTTGTTCCTGGGCAAATGCTGAAGACTAATGTTTTTATACTTATATTGAACAGGTTGTGAAGCAACTAGGTCATTCCTGCACCCTTCTAAGATTCTCCAAGCTATCCTGAAATCTGGAATCCTGGTGTAATATCATCTTTTTCACTGCCACACACACCCTCAAAAACCAGACACATGATTTTGGGCAGCTTGCCACCACCTGCAGTTTGTCAGCTTACTGGTCTGCTAGGCAACCAGGTACACATCCCGATCTCTGACAACTGACCACATGGGCACTATTAACCACTTGCCATCTGCCCTATAGCAGAAATACTGCTACAGGGCGACATGACAGCACATATATATATATATATATGTGATATATATATATGATCTGCATTTCTGGGTAGAAGTGTGTATGCACGCCACCCTACCCGCCCCAATTTTGATGGTTGGGGATGCCAATCACGGAGAGTCCCGGGCGGCATTCGGTGATTGTCGGCAAAACTGACAGAAAAGAGACCTGTTTGTAAATAACACAGATCTCTCCCCTGCCAGCAAGGACATGCTGCTTTGTATCTCTCTGCATAGCATGCCTCTCCAGTAAAACACACACACAGCACACAGTTAACCCTTTGATCGCCCCAGATGTTAACCCCTTCCTGTCCAGTGCCATTAGTGCAGTGTCAGTGCCTTTTTTTAGTGCTGATCATTGTATTGGGGTCACTGGAGATGTCAGTGGCAGTTAGTCAGTCCCCCCCCCCCCCCCCCCCCAGTGTCAGAATGCCCACCACAGTCCAGCAATAAGTATAAAAAAAAAAATGCCAGTAAATATATATTGCCATTTGTAAAACGCTCCATGCACACAGTTAACCCTTTGATTGCCCCAGATGTTAACCCCTTCCTGCCCAGTGCCATTAGTACAGTGTCAGTGCTTTTTTTTTAGCACTGATCACTGTATTGGCATCACTGGGGATGTCAGTGACACCAAGTCAGTTCCCCCCAGTGTCAGAATGTCTGCTGCAGTCCCGCTATAAGTCGCTGATCGCCATCATTACTAGTAAAAATAAAAAACAATTAAAATCCCAGTATATATGCCACCATATCTAAATACTATAACTTTCAAGTAAACCAATTAATGTACATGTATTGTTGGGATTTTTGTTTGCAAAGACACGGATTGGCCTAAATTTATGACAAAATTAGATTTTTAATTTTTTTTTACTGGACATGTTTAATAGCAAAAGTCCAAAATATTGTTTTTTTCTCTAACTTGTCGATCTTTTTTTTTTATAGCTCAAAAAACTAAAAACGCACGGTTGATCAAATACCACCGAAAGAAAGCTTAATTTGTGGTAAAAAAAGATGTAAATTTAATTTAGGTGCAGCGTTGCATGACATGCGGGCACAATTGTCAGTTAAAGTAATGCAGCGCCGTATCGCAAAAAAAAAAATGTCCTGGTCAGTTCGGGGGGGGTGGGTGGGGTAATCCTCAGGAGGGCGAGGGGTTAATTAAGCAAGTTGTGTATGTTTTGGATCCTTGCAGATTCAACCAATATCTTATTGAGAAACATTGTGAATGAATTACATTTTTTACGACAGGTTTGGCAGTCGCCTCTTCCTCAAAAATCTGACATGGTGGAGTAACAGTTACATTCCTCTATTTTGGGTTGGTTTGAAATGTACAGATGTGAAAGTCCTATCTATAGACTACTTTTGTTAGAAGAATAACAATTACACCCCGGTCATATCGAGTGCGATTTGCATGCTATGTGACTTGCAAACCGTATGGAAAGTCGCACCCTATCAGGGGCGGACTGACCATTAGGGTACTTGGGCTCTGCCCGAGGGCCCGGGGTCAGTAGGGGGCCCCATGAGATGCCCCTGGTACCTTTCATAGGTTTTTTTTTGGGTGTAGTTTGAGTGTAGGCGAGGACTCAGGAGCCGCATGATTGCCTATTGCCCGGGGGCCCCATGAGTTGTCAGTCCACCCCTGCACCCTATTGTCTGGTATTAGAGCGGTCATATCGATGCGGTTCTGACTTGGTGGGAGCCGCACCGATTGTTAAAGTTGTCCGTGCATTACTTTTGTTACGCTTTGCATAGACATGTGTGTCAGAAGTCTTGCAAATCGCAACTAAAATCGGCAGGTCATCTGATCTTGAAACCACGCGACTTCACTTCAACTTTGATGTGACCGGAGGGGGTTAAAACCTTACCAGTTTCATGTATGGCCTCCATTGGTTTAAATCTCTTAGATTGTAAGCTCCCAGGATCAGGGTCCTCCTATCCCTCTTGTATTGAACTGTATTGTGGCTGTATTGTGTCCCGTCAGGGGCAGACTGACAACTCATGGAGCCCCCTACTGACCCCGGGCCCTTGGGCAGTGCCCGAGTTTCCAAATGGTCAGTCCGCCCCTGTCTCCCGTTATATTGTAAAGTGCTGAGCAAACTGTTAGCGCCATAAAATCCTGTATAATAATAATAATAATGCCAATGTTGTGTAAATTGAACAATGAATTATTATGTCATGAATAGAAAACTTCTTGTTGGATTTTTAGACACATATAATACTTCTTCTAGTGTCTTGAGGCGATTATGAATGAAAGAGCCATTGAAATAAAAAATGAAGTGTGATTTTATTCTATCACACAATGGTGTAAAATAACAATGTAAAGCGTATTATGAACAGTTCCATGGAGATAAAACTACTGTAGAAATAGCAAGCAAACGTTTACAGATAAGTCACCATTATTTGACTTAGAAGTCCGGCCATGTGCGAACATGTCCTTCATGCTGTCCTTCTAGACTTTGTGAAGAAACAGCCGGAAAGGATGATCTGGTCTTCAGTAAGCACCTGTTCCTGCTTCTCATACGTGTGTGTACGTGTATGTCAAAGTGTCAATATTAGTGTGTGAGCGTGAGTGTGAATCCCACTTGTCCGTTGTCTCATGGCCTTTTATGAGGCAAATTTACGTCATAGTTAGTGATCTTAATGCCTTCTATGGAAATTATTAGTGCTTAGCAAAGCCATTTCATATAAGGAAGGGATGCTATACATATGATGTTTGATGGACAGGAACATACAGTATGTATGCTGATGAACCCTCAGCTATATATTTAAAGAATAGTATAGCTTAAGAACATATCAATGTAGAATCACTAAACTATATATGTATCAATGATAGAAACGTATACTAAATACACACAGATACTATTGAAATTAGAGATGAGCGAATCGAACCAGGCGAAGTGGAATTCGTTTCGAATTTCAGGAAAAATTCGATTTGCGTCGAATCCGAATATTAGCATACTTCGGGTGCGCGAATCGGATTTTTCCCGATCAGCCGGCAAAAGTGTCCCTGCAGAGAGCTCCGCTATTTCTGACAGTTCTCTCAGAGAACTGTCAGAAATAGAGGAGCTCTGCAGATACACTTAGCGGAGCTCTGCAGATACACTTTTTTCCGGTTTGGAATTCTTCCTATTTTCATCCTACTTCTTCTTCTTCTTCTTCATCCTCATCCTCAGAAGAAGAAGAAGAGGATGAGGATGAGGATGAAGAAGAAGAAGAAGAAGAAGAAGTAGGATGAAAATAAGAAGAATTCCAAGCCGGCAAAAAAAGTGTATCTGCAGAGCTCCTCTATTCTGCAGATACACTTAGAGGAGCTCTGCAGATACACTCTTTGCCGGCTTGGATTTTCTTATTTTCATCCTACTTCTTCTTCTTCTTCTTCATCCTCATCCTCAGAAGAAGAAGAAGAGGATGAGGATGAAGAGGAAAGAAGAAGAAGAAGTAGGATGAAAATAAGAAGAATTCCAAGCCGGCAAAAAGTGTATCTGCAGAGCTCCTCTATTCTGCAGATTCACTTAGAGGAGCTCTGCAGATACACTTTTTGCCGGCTTGGAATTCTTATTTTCATCCTACTTCTTCTTCTTCTCATCCTTCTCCTTCTCCTTCTTCTCATCCTTCTCCTTCTCCTTCTTCTCATCCTTCTCCTTCTCCTTCTTCTCATCCTTTCTCCTTCTCCTTCTTCTCATCCTTCTCCTTCTTCTCATCCTTCTCCTTCTTCTCATCCTTCTCCATCTTCTCATCCTTCTCCTTCTCCTTCTTCTCATCCTTCTCTCTCTTCTCATCCTTCTCCTTCTCCTTCTTCTCATCCTTCTCCTTCTCCTTCTTCTCATCCTTCTCCTTCTCCTTCTTCTCATCCTTCTCCTTCTCCTTCTCCTTCCTCATCTCCAAGGGCATTTTAAATTAAAGGTACAGTGTTCTGCACTAATTTAAAGGCTCTCTGAAGCCTATAAACCCTTTTTATAAGTTAAATTCGTAGCGAATAAATTTGCATCGAATCAAATTTCTTCCTCAAATTCGGCGAATCAGCCGAATCGAATTTTTGAATAATTCGCTCATCTCTAATTGAAATACATAATGTAATGAGTCCTCCTAATAACCTTGACATAACTACCAGCCTAAATATAGTATACTCAGCCTTCAGCTGGTTTAGCTGTCTCAGCTTAACTTGTATATCTTTTGGTCTCAGCTATAATTGAAGAATTGTAATACTACCATTTGTCAAAAGACCTTTCACACATATTAATATTAATTATGACTAATCATAAAAACCAAATATTTTGCAAGCTTGCCATCAATATAAGTGCCGAATCATAATTTAGATTTATTAACACTTCTGCATGTAAAAGCAATGATTAGTCCTCATGCACACAAGACATTTTTTTACAGCAACTGTTTTTTGGCATTTGATGTTTTTTTCTGCAGCCAGTAAACTCTCCAGCATGTTATCCTATGTGTCTGTACACACAGACGGGAATCAATGTTTTTTGGCTGAAAAAAAACCCCAAAACTAGTGGGTTTCTAGAGGAGTTTTTTCAGCTGTAAAAACGCTCTAACGCTGAAAAATGCAGCAAAACGCCACAAACCAGCATTTTTTGACTTGACTTTTTTTACCCCCCCCCAAAAAAAAAACGCTAAAAAACACAAACACGAAAAAGCAAAGCTAAATGCTGAAAAATGCAGCTAAACGCTAATGCAAAAAAGCTAAAAAAAACACCCATTTTTAACGTGACTTTACACAGATAACGTTACCAGAATTAACAGAACGTCCCCCCAGTGTGCATGAGGGGTTACTGCATTTCTGAATTCATCCCGCGTAACACAGTATCCCTGCAAAGAGGCAAATGAAGCACAACTGCAAAGAGGCTAGAACTTCAAAATGCCACTTGTACGTTGTGCAGGTTTACCTTGTAAAACCCAATAAAAAAAAATTAGAAAAACAATAGTTTCAAAATGATGACTGTTTCCCTTTAACTCAGCCATAGTTGTGCAAAACAATGGACTTCTTCCAACAAGTGAAACCGAAAGTATTCCAGAAAAGTTCATCTTTGTAAGAGAGAGAAAACGAAGCGCCGAGGGCTATAAATACTGAGAAATGGACTATAAGGAGCTGAGAAGTATGATTGAGACCTTCAGCCTGGGTGATGGAGTTCGGGGCAGTCAGGGCTATGAGCGGGTCCTCCTACAGCTGTTTGGCTACACTGGTCATGGCAAATCCTCCTTCATAAACTCCTGTAAATATGTCCTGAATGATGGAGGACCATTTAAAATGTATGCTCATGCTGGACAGAGCGAAGATGGAGGCAGCATGACACTCATAAGAAAATCCTATGAGCTTACCCCCAATATCACCATCGTGGACAACCGAGGCTGCAGTAAGATGACCAGCTTTGAACGAGCCGAGGTCTACGCCCAACTCGGTGAGTAACAGTGAGCATTCTAATACTTCCAGTAATACAAATGTAATTATTCTGATTAACTACTAGAAGACCTATTCCCTGTGCAGTTAGAGGGTTAACCCCTTAGTAACGGAGGGTAAAAACACACATTATTGCCTAAACACCACTTTGCAGCTTTGACATGTGTTAGGAAAACCATCCATATCATCGTAAGGACCTTGTACATTCAGGTGGATTATAGCGCATTTTTGTTTTTCAGGACAAATTGAACTTTCTTTTGCTGGTAAATGGTAACAGA